CCTCCAAGACGGCCTGGAACACCCTAAGAGGGCCCCAAGTCGGCCCAGAGAGGCTCTAAATACGGCTTCCGACGGCGTCAGACGGGCCAGGAGGCCGCCAAGGCGGCCCAACCTCCAGGAAGGCCCGAAGAGGCCAGAACCATTTTCGACGCCCGAAATGGGCACGGAAAGAATGGGTACAATGCCCAACAACAAATGTTGTCCCGAACCAACAGCGGCCGCTGTTGGGCAGGCGGCCTTCAGTCTCGAATGGACACAGGCCGCGGCGGCGTGGACAGCGAGTCCGGTTCAAAATGAACAGGAACTGCTGTTAGACATTGTACCCATTCTTTCCGTGCCCACTTCGGGCGTCCAGAACCATTGATCTTCCTTAGGTTCTTGACGGATTTTGGCATGTGTTTCTTTTCGATCTTCCGACGGCACAAAAAAGGCCCAAGAGCTCCCAAAGATCGCCCAAAGATCGCCTCAGAGGCCTTCCAAGATGGGGCCCAAGAGGCCCCGAAGACAGCCCCAAGAGGGCCCCAAGACGGCCCAAAAGGCCTCCAAGACGCCCAAGATGGCCTCCGAGACAGCCCTGGAGCACCCCAAGAGGGCCCCAAGTCGGCCCAGAGAGGCCCTCAAGACGGCTTTCGACGGCGTCAGACCGGCCAGGAATGCCCTAAGACGGCCAAAGAGGTCCCCGAGAAGCCCCCCTCAAGACGCCCAAGGAGGCCCCCAAGATGCCTCCAAGGGGCTCCCAGGAAGCTCCAAGGAGGCCCCAAGAGTGCCCCCAGAGGCTCCCAAGATGCCCCCCCCTCCTCCTCCCCCTCCTCCTCCTCCTCCTGATCTTCCCCGCCGTCCTCACCCAAGTGTTCCCCGAGGGGTTTCTACGACGCCTCGGGGAACGCAGTGCCCGACAGCTTCGCGGAGCTCCTGCCACAGCGCTCGGCCACATATGGGCGACTCCCAAAGGCAGGGGTCGGCGGCGATTCGCCGTAGGCGTCTTCGATAACTGCGAGCCCCGTCTATCGGGTCGGGCGAACGGGGGGGATAGCAAAGAGGGGGTTTGAGAATCAGCTCACGTAGCTGATTTTCCCCGCGCGTCCCGGCGCCGGAGGCGGCATGTATCGAGGAATGGGCCCCTCGGTGGGGCCGAAACCAGCTGCATGCAGCAAATTTCGTACCCCCCCTTTCCCAATCCCCCCCTTTCGTCCGGCCCGAGTCTACATCGCAGAACGGGGCTGGGGGCTGGGAAAGGACATGCCCCTCCTCGACGAAAACCTTGACACGATGTGTGGCCGCCGCGATCGCCGCGACGACCTCCAGAACCGACCCGGAGTTTGGGCTCGGGGTCGGACGACACGCAACGCCCCCCATTCTTCGATCGATCCAGGGGGGATGGCCCTGGCCGCGCTCCCCGCAGCCGAGATGCTGGTCCGCCTCCACCTCTCGCCGTCTCCTCCCTCCTCCGGCATCCCTCCGTCCCCTGCTCCTCCTGCTCCTCCTGCTCCTCCTGCTCCTCCTGCTCCTCCTCCTCCTCCTCCTCCTCCTCCTCCTCCTCCTCCTCCTCCTCCTCCTCCTCCTCCTCCTCCTCCTCCTCCTCCTCCTCCTCCTCCTCCTCCTCCTCCTCCTCCTCCTCCTCCTCCCCTTCTCCTTATCAAAAACTCCCCCCTGTCGCACACCCAGGGCGTGCTGGTAGGGCGGACCGGGCGTTGTGCCTGAGAACGCCTCACCACTTATGATCCTGAAGCTTGATAGTTGAAACAGCTTCAAGATTGGACGGCGGTCGTTTTCAAAATGTGGTTGTCGCGCTTGCGCCGCGCACATTCGTCTTAAAAAGCTGCAGCAGGATCAAGGATGGAGCACAACTTGTTTTCATATTGTGACTCTCACCTTGGCGCCGCGCACCTTCGTCTTTGAAGTCTGCAGCAGCTTAAAGGATGGAGAGGAGTGCCGTTCTCGAAGTGCGGCTCTCGCCTTAGCGCCGCGCGCATTCCTCTTCAATGTCTGCAACACCTGTGAGGATGGGGCCCGTGTCGTTTTCAACATGTGGCTCTCGCCATAGCGCCGCGCATATTAGGCTTAAATGTGCAGCTGCTTCAAGGTAGGAGAGCGGTTCCTTTTCACCCTAGCGCTGTGCACATTAGCTTCAACACCGTGGGCCAGTTACTAGAATGGATCAAACATGGGGCATCGTGCACCAGTTACAAGGTGCTGCTCTCGCCTGAAAGCCGCGCTCATTCGTGCGAAACGTGTGTAGCACTTTCAGATATGGAGAAGGGGTCGCGTTCAAAATGATGTTCTCGCCGGGCGCTGCAGCGACGCCACATTCGTTCTAACAGGTTGCAATAGTTTGAAAGATGGAGGGCGGTCCCTTTTCAACATACCGTTCTCGCCTTAGCGTCGAGCACAGTCTTCTGAAAATCCGGCGACCCTGTCGGCGTGTGGAAGAAGCTCTTTCATTCGTCGCTGTTTCACTCGTCTTCTCCTCGTCGTCATCGTCGCCGTCGCCATTCCAAGCTTTCTCCTGGGTCTTCCTCTCCAACGCGCCAGCCGTTGCCCTCTTACCCTGGGCCTTTCTCTTCAAGCGTGCTAGCAAAAACGACAAGAACGAACATCTTAATACATTCGAAGGGAGGCCCCTTCCCTTGATCATCCCTGCCGGGGGGTCCCGGGGGAGACCCTGGGGGTCCCGGGTCAGAATGCCATGTCCGTCGCCGTTCGTCCCTTGTCCTCGGCCCTCCCTTCCCTGTTCGAGCCCAAGAGCGCCCAAGAACGCTCCAACAGCGCTCCAAGAGCGCCCAAAAAGGCGATCTTTGCTGCTCGCCCTTTTCTTCCTCCTCATCCTCCTCCTCATTATATCCTCCTCCTCCTCCTCTCCCTCCCACTCCTCCTGCTCGCCATGCTCAACCCGCTGCTGCCCCTCCTACTCCTCCTGCTCCTCCTGCTCCTCATGCTCCTCCTCGTCCTGCTGCTCAACATCCTCGTCGTCCTCGTCGTCGCCGTCTTCAGGGTCGGCAGCACTGGCTGTAAGGCCTTCGGAATCTTGCAGCATTTACAAGGGCTGCGCACCGACAATTTTCAAAATGGGCACCTCGCATCATCGCCACGCACATTCGCTTCCTCAGCGCACCATTTAGGAGGACAGGGGGGCTGCATGTGTTTGAAAATTGGTGTCCTGGGTCGAGATTCAGTTATCCCCGAAACTTTGCAACATGTAGCACTGCACTGATCCAGGGCGGCTTGTTGTCTCAAACGGAGCTATCGCTTGAGACGGCATTCGAAGTCCATGACCACAAATGCACAAGTTGGGCAACAGAAGCTCGGATGGGGCGCGGTCCCTATTAAAATAGTGTATCTCATGGTCATAGCGCAAGTCATGTGTTAAGGACGGCGCTTCTTGCAATGGAGACGAGAGCTTTTAGGGACGTGTGAGGGAAAGACTTAGGACGGGAGGTTATATTGCAGCATCGCTGGTGGATCCTGGGCTTACTCTGGTCCTCCTCTTCCTGCCCCCCTACCTCCCTCCCTCCCCCTCCCTCCCTCATTCGTCATGACCATCATCAGCACCACCATCATCATCATCATCATCATCATCATCATCATCATCATCATCATCATCATCATCACCATCATCATCATCATCATCATCATCAGCATCATCATCATCATCATCACCACCACCATCATCATCACCACCACCATCATGATCCTTATTACCATCAGCAGCATCATCAGCAGCATCGGCATCATCATCATCATCAAAACCGTAGTCACAAACATAATCATCATCCTTATAATCATAATACTCATCACCACCACCATCCTCATCAGCATCAATAGTATCATCATCATCATCATCATGATCATCATCATCATCATCATCATCATCATCATCATCATCATCATCATCATCATCATCATCATCATCATCTGCATCATCATCAGCACCAGCATCATCGTCAGCCTCATCATCATCAGCATCATAGTCAGCCTCATCAGCATCAGCATCGAAAGCATCATCAGCCTCATCAACATCGGCATCATAACCATCATCAGCATCATCAGCAGCATCATCACCAGCATCATCACCAGCATCATCTTCATCATCATCATCATCATCAGCAGCATCATCAGTATCATAATCATCATCATCAGCAGCAGCATCATCATCATAGTCGTCATCATCATCAGCAGCATCAGCATCTTCATCATCGTCGTCGTCATCCTCTCTTCTGCAGAGTGATGACCCTTATCCTCCTCCCTCCTTCTCCATCCTCCTCCCTTCTCGCAAATCTTCCCCCCTCCTCCCTACCTCCTCTTATCTCTTCCTCCCTCCATATCTCCAAAGTCCTCGTCCCCCTCCTCCGTCTGCCTTCTCCCTCCTCCTCCTCGATCCTCTTCCTCCTCCTCCTCCTCCTTCTCCTCCTCCTCCTCTCCTCCCAAATCCTCCTCCTCCTCCTCCTCCTACTCCTCCTCCTCCGTCTCTTTCTCTCCACCCAAATCCTCCTCCTCCTCCACCTCCTCCTCCTGCTCCTCCTCCTCCTCCTCATCTCCTCCCATCCTCCCTCTCTCCTCCTTCGTCTTCCTCCCTCCTCATCTCCGACTTCTTCCGCTTCTTTCCTCCGCATCCCTCGTTATCCCACCTCCTCCATTCCCCGCCGCCGCCGCACTCTCCTCCTCCACCTATTCCTGCTCCTCCTGCTCCTCCTGCTGCTGCTCCTCCTCCTTCTTCTTCTTATGCTTCTTCTTCTTCTTCTTCTTCGTCTTCCTCTTCTTTTTCTTCTCCTCCTCCTCCTCCTCCTCCTCCACCTCCTCCTTTCTCTTCCTTCTCCTCCTTCTCCTCCTCCTCCTCCTCCTCTTCCTCCCCTCCTCTCCTCCATCCCTCCCTCCTTCCCTCCCTCCCTCCCTCCCTCCCTTCCTTCCTCCTCCCCCCCCGTTCATCCCTCCTCCGCCCCCGTTCCTCCCTTCCTCCCTCCCTCACTCCCCCCTCGCTTCGCCATCACTCCTGGGGCCCCGGC